GATTTGACAAATCCAAACATTGGCCTATGAAATGATTTTGAAATTTTATAAGTCAGAACACCAATACATTATGTAATTTTTGGATCATTTTATTTTTCCATGAGAGTCATGAATGCAGAGCCTTTTATTTTTCTTTTTAGACAGAGTTTCATTCTTGTGGCCCAGGTGCGAGTGCAATGGCGCTATCTCGGTCACCAATCTCCGCCTCTGGTTTCAAGCAACTCTCCTGCCTCCAGCCTCCCCAAGTAGCTGGATTTACAGGATGTGCCACCCACGTTCGGCTAATTTTTTGTATTTTAGGTAGAGATGGGGTTTCTCCATGTTGGTGAGGCTGATCTTCGACTCCGACCTCATGTGATTTGCCCGCCTCAGCCTCCAAAGTTCTGGGATTTAGGAGCACGTGTGAGCCACCGCGCCCAACTGCAGAATTTTTTTTTTTTTTTTTTCTCTTTTTTGAGACGAAGTCTCGCTCTGTCGCCCGGGCCTGGCAGTTGTGCAGTGGCGCGATCTGGCTCACTGCAAGCTCCGCCTCCGGGTTCCTGCCATTCTCCTGCCTCAGCCTCCCGAGTTAGCTAGGACTACAGGCGCCCCCCACCTCGCCCCGGAATTTTTAATAACAAATGCTTTAAGGAGTCAGGAAGGACAAAGGTGGCATCTTGATTTCTCCAATGAGTCCATGGTTAACATCGGATTATGTGCTCTTGAATATCGGTTGTTTCTCTAATTTACGTGCATAGGCACTTGATACCTTAATGGGTTATCATAGGTAATTTGACTTAGAACTTTGGGAGTTCATTCAAATGTATATCTAGGCTGGGCAAGCCCACAAAAAAAATTAGCTGGGCATGGTGGCACAAGCCTGTCATCCCAGCTACTTGGGAGAGGTGGGAGAATCCCTTTAACCGGGGAGGACGAGGTTGCCGTGAGGGGAGATCTCTCCACTGCACTCCAGCCCTGGGCGATAGAGTGAACCCCTGTTTCAAAAACAATAAAAAAGACAGGCGTGGTGGCTCACGCCTGTAATCCCAGCACTTTGGGAGGCCGAGGTGGGCAGATCACAAGTCAGGAGATGGAGACATCCTGCCTACACGGTGAAACCCCGTCTCTACTAAAAATACAAAAAATTAGCCGGGCGCCGGTGGCGGGTGCCTGTAGTCCCAGTTACTCGGGAGGCTGAGCAGGAGAATGGCATGAACCCAGGGGCGGAGCTTGCAGTGAGGCTGAGATCCTGGCCCCATGCACCTCCCAGCACTCCAGCCTGGGCGACAGAGCGAGACTCCGTCTCAAAAAAAAAAAATAAATAAATAAATAAATAAATAAATAAATAAATATAAAAAATAAAAAGCTGGTATGCTCCATTAATTCCTGCAGGCCCGACAAAGGCAGCCTAGGAATTCTAGATGAATGGAATGAATAACAACTTGCTAGGAATACATAGGAAACAAAATGACTATTCATAGAACCCAATAAAAGCCTTCCACTAGAAACTAAAAAAAAAAAAAAAAAAAAAATGGTTATATGTATATGCATACACAAGCAAAGCCAGAAGCCAGAAGAGAATAAATAGCAAATGAATGAAAATTAGAAGGAAAAACAAATAAATAGGAAACCGTCTCTAAATTTTTTTTTACTCAATCTACCCTGAATGCTACAGCATTACCCAGGGCCCCAGAAAATACACATAATACTTTATTTCTGATACACAATTCAATGTCCTTAAGTCCACCAATATCACCATACATTCTGTGCAATCAAGACATTTACTCAGCTGGGCACAGTGGCTCACACCTGTAATTCCAGCACTGTGGGAAGCCAAGGTGGGTGGATCACCTGAAGTCAGGAGTCGGAGACCACCCTGGCCAACATGTCGAAACCCCATCTCTACTAAAAATACAAAAATTAGCCCGGTGTGGAGGCACACGCCCTTAATCCCAGGTACTCCGGTGGCTGAGGCAAGAGAATTGCTTGAGCCTGAGAGGCGGAGGTTGCAGTGAGCCCAGATTGCGAAACTACACTCCAGCCTGGGTGATAGAGGGAGACTCCATCTCAAAGAAAAAAAAAACAAAGATTGTACACCTAAAGTTAACGTTGGCATGTCCTTGATTACAGGAGGACAGCAAATAATTTACTTATGAATAATATGCGGGTGGCAGCCCTTCCCAGATGCCTGAGGCCTTTTCTTGCTCAGTAGGCAGCTATCTGGCTGTTACATGATGTTAGGAACAGCTATTCATTTGGAAAAGGGTGTTGCAATGACCTTCCCTTTTGCATAAGAAGATGGGGGTGCTGGGATCCTGAAATTTTAAATTTTCCTTTACAGCGTACCCATATGTGCTCAATATTGAAAAGACATGACAATTGGTTAGGCGTGGTGGCTCACACCTGTAATCCCAGCACTTTGGGAGGATGAGGTGGGCGGATCAGAAGGTCAAGAGATCAAGACAATCCTGACCAAAATGGTGAAACCCTGTCTCTACTAAAAATACAAAAATTAGTTGGGCATGGTGGTGGGCGCCTGTAGTCTCAGCTATTCAGGAGGCTGAGGCAGGAGAATCGCTTGAACCCAGGAGGCGGAGGTTGCAGTGAGCCGAGATCGCACCATGATTGCAGTCCAGCCTAGCAACAGAGGCGTGTCCAAAA